GGTTTAAAGGAAATATCTTATATTTAACATTTCTTACATTGTTTCCATGTCATTTGTCAGACGTCTGAACTCTGCCTAGAATTTCTACGCGTACTTGTAGCTGATTAAATTACGGTGAAAAGTAAAGTTATAAGCGTCATTCAGAAGTGACGAGTCAACTTGCGGCAAGCGACAATGCTCTACGGCTTATTGAGTAGCGAATGCTTTATTCGCTTTTCGGTATAGGAAAGAACGTTTGCGGGCACTTGCTAATAGATACCCAAACTGGAAAGAACACATACGGTGGCGGGTGGCGGTAAGGTTTCTCAACAAAAACTTTCACTGCTATGTGGTACGACTCATCCAATAAAAGACGGATTTCGCTGTTATACAACGGGTCCTAATCGAGAAAAGAGGATAGAAACAATCTAAATTAGGTAAAATCAAGCATTGTTGTTATTGAACGATCTGATAATGAATCATAATACTGTAATAAGAACGGGTGACAATAATAATAATTAATAATGATAATGTTAACATATTAATATTATATTTACCATGCTTTGTTCGAGGTCATCCAAGTACATGGCATATTGTGTTCAATCAGATAAAAGATAAGTATTGTTGGTAATAACTAGTGGTAACGGCTCCAACGAAACGAAAGGAGAATACCCGTTATCAATTTGTTGCTTTAGTAAGCAGTTTGTGCGATTCTGCGGCTACTACGGAATGCGAAACTCGACGTTTCATTGAAGTGGTTCTGCCAATTGATTAACTTGGGAGTTTCACTCGATTATCCAATCACCTTGCATGTCAAATATTTACAGCGGACAAATCATGACCGTTGTCCGAGATTTAAGCTCGATACGTTGAAATAATTATTTCGTTAACCAGCCCACTGTATACAAGAGTGTTGCTGACCGGTGAATCATATTGAGTAAAACGTGTTCATGTTCTTGATAATAATAAGAGATGACTGAACCATTTATTATTTAATGTAAACATTCTTGAATTATTAAGAGGCTATTTCGGTGAATATTACTTTACGCATTGTCGGCTTGAAGCAAACGCCTTGATGCAATCGTATAGTAAATATAAGATTCTGGTCCAATAAAATAATAATTATGTACTTCAGTATGGATAATTTATCATTAATTGTACACAAGTAAGTAATATAAATATAACAGCCAATGCTTGCTCTTGGGTTGGGTAAATTCCATAATACAACAACATTATAGCCAGAACTACTCAACCGTCTTTTTCATCATTTTTAACAAGTTGACAAGAAGCGAGCGTAAAAGTTATTTTATACCAACAGATTGGGCAAATCGTATATTTTTAAATTTGAATTTGCAGATTTAAAAACGTGAACCTTTACAGAAGATCTTCCAAATTGAGAATAGTAAAATACAAATATAAAAAAAGGGTCATTTATAAGAAAAATAATAATCTGTTTACATGTTATTATGATTGTCACTGCCAGTATTTGTAAATAGAGCATCAATTAATATTTTTAACATTGTGGTCATGTGCGTTGTTTCAAAGTGCGTCACCATTTGTACCTCTGGTTTGTTGCAGCATACTTCAGGCATAGACAAGTTTGGCTTATGCCATAAATGATTCATCACCAACACCGTTTTCTGGATTGTCAACAAATACTTTGTTGTCGGATCAATTTTGGTAATATAAATTATTTGAAAGTTGGATTATAATATACGACGTACGAGAATTAGTAGAGTTTACTAGCTCACGTATATTCACCTGCCGATGACTTTTATTTGATCTTTACTGTATTCCCAATTCGCCTACACGAGGGATTTTTCGAGCCTCTCAGCGAATTAGCTAGATATTGCTTATTATATAGTCAATTTACCATTTGAATACTCTATCGTATATTTCGAGTTCCGAACTATTAACTTGTGACCTTCTTACTTTCGTGACTTCGACAGGAACGACGTATTTATCTAATTATTACCCAATCGCAAACACGACTATTAGATTAACACAATTAGTATAGCACGTTACAACGTCACAAGTTCTTCGGCGCGCTTCTAAAATCCTTCGTTCATTAATTCCACAGGTTTCTTGACATATTTTAAGATAATTGTTTGGCCACACGTAAGATCGGGGCCACAAATAGGGTGTATCAGTTTCGACTACCAAGCAACATATGTGTAATAAAATAATAATCGTGTTTTGGGTAACTCTAAGACTGACAGCAAAGTTTGGCTTCTTATGGAGTAAATCCTCCATAACAGATTCTCAAGCCTCAAAGAAATTCTGCTAAACAAACTTTAATTTACTTCGAGTAAATTTTCTTCAAGTTATTTTTCCCATCTCTTTGAATGTAAGCCTGCGTGACTTGCTCCTTATTACCGACGATAGCACAATGTTTCCAATCGGTGATCTTTAAGTCTTACGGTTCTGCAATAATTGCTTCATATTCGCAATGAACAAATACGACACTCATTATACTCGTTCGTAATACTTTTGTTGTTCCTCCTAGCTTGTTAAAATCTTGTATTCATCCAAAGTCTTTGACGCTTTTTCGTAAACTCCCAAGAAAATACTACCACCAACTGAAATCCATAGCACACGTGGCCCAATACCAGAGAACAACGCACGTATTCCCTCTTCTTCCACGATTCTACGGAATGTTGATACTATTCCCGAGTAGTTATGAACAACGTGATGCTAAAAAAGATTCAATCCAAACTTTGTATAAGCGCATAATCAACATAAAAGACAGAATTCTCTTTTATTACGAACCTTTGTAGAAAGCATCAATCGTGTCTTAACAACGTCTAAAGGAGTAGTAATACCAGCAGCGGTTCCACCTGCAACTGAACCACAGATAGCAGCCTCCCATGGTTCAACGCGTTCTCTGTTGCTCTTATGAGCGACGGTATGTTTCAGAAATTCATATAATGGAAACTGTAAACATGTAAATGGAATCTATGTGTAATAAACGGATTGCAAGTACCAGCAAGAGTCCATTAATATATCATTATAATATATTTTTTTGATTCAAGTCGACATACTTTTAACAAACCTCTCGTGCAACTGTGCTCCAGTACCCACGGTATAAACCCAGAATGCCTTGCTCCTCCAAAGTAAAGTACATAGCAGCAAGAGAAGAGGGCAAGCGATAAACCTGCATTCGTTGCTTAATGACTTCCGTTGGGACGCGTATTATACATGCTGCCTGAAAACAACCAAATATAGTCAGTAAAGGGAAGAAATATTTAACTTTGTAATTGGTTATAACAGATTAAACTGACAATCTCTCCAGCCGATGCAGATGCCATATGGATAAGTGGCGGAGGGTAAGCATTAGAGCTACGTTCGGTCAGCAACTTTTTGAAGCGTTCGTATGTAAAAAAGAATACCGCAGCTTGGTATTACGTTCAGAAACTTTGGTTAGTTCTAACAAACAAATCATACATTTTGTAGCTAACGTAAATGTGACATTACATATCACACTATCAACTATTACATTAATCAATACTTACCGCTGGGTGCACTTCCAATGATTACGGCAGTGAGTCCACTGTATATACCACGAAAACCGCCAGCAGCATAGAATCCAGTCCTTGACTGCAGCCTCGTTTTAATTGTGTCTAATGGATACAGTGCTGTATCAACAGCAGTGCCTGCTAGACCGCCTGCCTTCCAGTTCAATCATGAATGTACACACTTAGTAATTTCAAGGATTTGCATACGCACATATTTCAATTGACCAAAAAGAATTATTACCAATAACAATTGTTTACTATTAAGATGAGTATTATTTGCACGATCAGCCATTAAGATTTAATACTGTTCTATTAACAAAAAGCGAGATGACTGATAATTCTACTTCCAACTTGCGAAAAAGGGTCACAATTCCGGATAAAGCAAAGTAGGATACTTTCGAAAAGTCAGGATTGATGAGAATACTCACTCGATGAATATAGAGGCTTCGGGAACGCAGAATTGAGTTTGATAAAAAATGTGAAAAGATTAGTTTTATTTCAAGGGGTTGACGTCACAGAATGTTTATCCTTTTCCTATTTTGTCGCTGAAACAAAAGCTCAAATAACTTCTACAAGCTATTGATCAACGGTAATTAATTAATAAAGAAAATGGAAAATTCCTTTTTCCATACACTTTGGCCAATACATTCCTTTAACATTCAAACACATATGTTAAAAACGGTCGAACTCGGTACAAGATTGCAGTAAATTCAGCTCCTGACATAAGTGTTATTGTTGTTTTTTATTTATCATATCTGGTACTTAGTCGTTATGATGTCTGAAATATACTACTGTTGCTTAACAATAGTAAGGTATATGATCTTCTAGCGAAAGACCTCATACGGAGGAAGCAATGCTGTATGAATATTATTATTATCTGTTACATACAGAGTGAAAGTCTTTATAAGACTTACTTGTCACTCGTTGTACACGTTCAAGAGGTATGGTTCTATAGCCGATTAGAGTATACGTATGAATGGGTTCTTATGACGCGACGAGCTCCTTATTGAAGATCGGCCATCTGACCTTAAATCACATCGGCATCTGGGGCATAAACTGGAAAGAAGAAATGAAATCTGAAACTATGACAAAAGGGTAGAAGAATGCACTGTCAGTTAGGTATGTCCGCGAAATTGGTGGTGGTTAATTCATTCACAAGAAAAACAGCGAGTTTCATTGACAAAGCCCAGCAACTGTCGGCAAAAACATTCCATTCGATCTTTGAATTAATATACGGAGAAGGATAAAAAACGCTTCCTTGTACGTGTATTACTATTACTCAAATTGACAGTTTAGGGCAAGAGTTTGAAATTTATAACACACGGAAATCTTGTCTTTTGTCTTTTTGGTCCGATTGTGGTTGGTCGCACATGATCAGATAAAGATAATCGATGTATCGATCTGCATTGTCGCCCAATTTTATTAGCTGAAAGGTATTAAATTAAATATTACATGTCAATCAGAATGCAAGCAATTATTTAGTAATCTATCGGAACATTATAATAATCAAGCGTATCTGTATTCATCGTCGTCATCATCGTCGCTCCAGGATAAAAGACGATGTGGCTTTTTCTTATTTTGCACGGTTTCAACACTCAATATTGTTCTTACACCAGAAATTTGTCTCTGATCATCGGAAGAACCTTCTACAAGGTTCCAAGGAGCATTATTTGAAGAAGTACGAGCCAGTTGAATACCGTCTCCCCAACAATATATAATAAGAGAAATAATTGTAATAAAAATGACTGCTCCAAACATTGCACGAGCACCAAGATTATCATATATTAAGCCGCCAGCAAGACCCCCAAGGCCCGTGCCAATACCTACGGAAAGGGACAGTAATAAAAACGTCAATAAATACTATATGAATCGGATCCTTTTGCACAAATTTTTGTCACATTTACTTACCCGCAAATGCAGCCATCATCATTCCTTGCGAGAACGATACGAGATTAGGTGGAGAGAGATTAGTCAGATGCGTAACGCCTGACGCCCACAGAGAGGTAAACGCCATTCCGTTGAGTGACTGGACGAGCAACGCAACAACATGTGAGAAGCTGTTTGGTTGGAGGAAGATGTATGTAATTGCACGAAGGATGGTCGCAATATGAGCAAACATTATCAATTGCGCAATTCCAAAGCGGCTTATGAGCTGCAAGGCAGAAGATGAGAAATTGGTGATTAGACATCAGGTGAAACATAAAGACTCGTCGCCGGTATGAACCGGCAGAATAATATATTAATCTCTTACATATTCATCTCTTTATCTAGACAAACAATCTTCTAACCAACATCACTCCTCAACTTACATCCTTTGAATAGAAGAAAAACAATAGCTCGGTTATCGCACTCATCGGTCCAGTTAACCCAAGAACGGTAGAACTCGCTTTCAGATCCTCACTCAAAAATATCAACAAGAATGCGTTGCATATTGCCATCGCTGTTCCCATCAACAACATTGTAACTAGCAATGTCGCCACCGATGGATTAGTAATCAAAACCATAACTGCTGAAGATGGCTTCTTGACCAGACTTGCATTCGTTATAGTCGGGGCACTCGGCGGGAATGCCAATACGTCTAAATCAGGCACGGAAACCTCGTTATCTTCCTCCTCCTCTTCGTCATCGATATCCTCTTCATCGGATGTATCAAAAATATCGCCGTTGTTTGATGAATCATCGATGCTGAATACGTGAGACGAGCGCCCGGCATCATTATCAGAGTCGTCAATGTCGATAAGAGGTTTAAATGCCGTGGGAGCGCGATAGGAATATGTAGAAAGAGGTCGAGATGTGGGATTGGAGGCGGATGCGGAATTGAAATCCGTGAATAATACACTGAGACCAAAGAAAATCGCCGAGATGTAGAAGAGTATAAATACGGCATCTATAGATGATGCTGAGATCAGGATACCAACAAAGAATGTGCAAAGACCGTAAGACACCGAGCCCCAGAGTCGTTGTTCGCCTGGAAAAATTCAATGGAATGAAATGAAATGAAATGATACGTTGTACAAACCAGATTGAGTTACTTATGTGTGCGATCGATCACATTGCACACATGTAATATGATTTCAATAAAACACTTACCATACAGTTCTTTTTTATCCCCTAAAATCTTTAATACGCCACTATCGACTAGGGCGTTAACAGGAATTCCAAAGAATGCAAACCAACTTGCCGCAAACAATACCCAGGCCATTATCGATCCTCTTCCGGAACTCTCACTCGAATCTTGCTCGTTCCACTGATCGTCATTCTCGGCAACATCGACTCTCGGCAACAACATTTGCGCAACAATGCTTGCCACGGCAGCTACATATGTAACGAGCATAATCGCCTTGTGCGCTTGAAACTTGTCCGCAAGTCCAGTCCATAAAGGACAGCTTATTGCAGCAATAAACGGGGCAATCGAGAAAATTATTCCGATCTGGCTGGAAGACAGATTAAGTGAATTTTTGTAGAAAATGGGAAGAAAAGGGAGCGCGGCACCCATGCCACCGTATAGGAAAACATAGAGTAATTTAGGGAGGAGATATGGAGCTGATATTATTTTCGAAATGCAGGACTGAGATGAAGAAGAGGAATCTGAGGAAGTGGGAAGATGAATAGGTCCAGTGGAGCGAAAGTGGGAAAACAGAGAATTAAGCCATGACGGAGGAGCTAATTGGAGCGTCGTCGACGAAGATTTTTTTGCCCGTGAGGGTTTTTGTTTTCTTGGCATGCTCAGCTTATAAGAAGAATACTGGCTCGCCTCTAGTTGGGAATGTTGAAGAAGTTTGAGGGGGGTGAGTGTAAACCCTTTTCTTTGATTTTTATAAGGGGTAAAAACTTTTATTTTGCGTGGTTTTCCGCTCCGAATGTGTTAAGAAATAGGGACAAAGAATTGTAACCAAAAAAAATTTCCGGGTTAAAACTCAATCAACTGATTGGTCACCATTATGGAAATTTACGCGCGAATTTAACGAATCACGCCTCAGTCGAAAGTCCTACGCAGTTTCGTTAAATGAGATGTCATATTCAAAGATCTGGTCTTAACTTTGTTGAAGATCTTCGACAATTCTGGTTAACAACAGTCTCTTCTTATTATTAGACTGCCATACTAATTACTTGTCAAAGAACTAACTGCTACAGAAAATAGTTTATGCATGTAAATTACCTTTGAATTACTGTATTAAATGGTCATTAGATAACATTTAAGACAATATAAATAGGGCTTTTAAATTCCCCAAGAGTAGCGCAAGACAAAATTATTGTTACTGGCAAAGTACACAGGCTATGCCAAATGTTTGCATTTAATATTTCATTTCACCTAATACTAAAAAAGATAAATCATAGACTACTGAAAAAGTAATACAACTGGTTAGTTTAGCATTTACATTCATGTGAAAGCGATGTAAATAATTCACAAACACAAAATGAGATTTGCTTGAGAAAAAGGCTTGACCAATTACGAAAAAGAACGCTTTAATTACCACGCCCAATTTAAAAGTATTTGAAATCTTAGAAACTTTTGCTAAATCACTTAATCGGTGTTCTTACATGGTAATAAAGCAGTGTTGGTTAATTTAAAGTAAAATATGTTGGTGAAAATAACTACCGTTATTGTAAGTTTAAAGAATAAAGTTAGCAATGTCGATTGCGTTCAATGCGTTTACAATGTTAACGTCGTATTAGTATCATATCTTTGCAGTTAAGGGTAAGACCTCAAAACAAATCAATGGTATATCACGTATTCTTGAATTTTTAACTTTCAACTCTTGTCTCGTACTAATCTTGAATTGGAAACAGCAACCTCTCTTTTATACTTAATTATTAAAAAAACAAACAAATAACCTTATAAGTCAACATACAGCGTTTTTACCACGGTTTGTGCGTTTTCTCAGATTTTTCCTAAATACAAGTTTCACTCCGTTGTACATGTATGCAGACATTTACATAGGTCCATTTAACATTATGCTCGCTTTTTTTTTAAAAATTGGTTAAGCTAATTGTATTCAAATGCAACTTTAATAATTTGATTTTATAAATTAAGTTGACTTCATGCAATTAAGATCTTAGTTAAAGCTCTATCTGAGTCTTGCAGATACATACGCGTAAATTAGACATGATAACTTAAAACAGTAGAATTTACCTGTAGCAGTCCTATTGTATTGCCATAAGAATTATGTAGGCCGCATCTTTTATTTTTAATCAAATACAAAATCTTACCAGGCTGAGTAGGAGTAAGCACTAGGAATAAAGCATTTAGTGGATGCGTTACAAATAGTAATAGGATTTTTGATGGGAAACAGTTTGTGCAAATAAATATCGTCAAGGTGACGAGATTTTCAGGCATGTGCGACATTCGAACATGTTTTTTAGTATTAGTATTACATATTATAGCACTTTTCAAAATAGTATGATCATCATCAAAAAAAAATTGAAAACGAAAATGAAAACGAAAACAATTTCAGCCAATAAAATCAGTTATAATCGCTTCATAATCAGTTATAATCGCTGGTGTAACAACCCAACAAACTTTCTTTTCTTGCCTTGCGCTAAGTAAAGAGGTAAAGTTGTATTAAGTAGGCGTCTTCTACTCTTCAGAAAGGTTTAGTAATCACTGGCTCGCAGAAGTTTTCACGAAGTTTTCACCTGTTTTCACGTTGTAATCGTTGTTTTCGCGAAAAAAGTTGTGACCAAATGTTGTGTGACTGCAGAATTTTGAAAAGAGCGATAATATTTCAGAATTATTCTATTCTTTTTAACTTTCGTAAGCCGACTTATCCGGCTTATTTCAAACTCCCAAGCAATAGACACTTTTGTTCGACAACAACGACGCACTGGAATAGAAATTATTCTAGAAGAACAGCTAATAATCCTTAGCAGAAGAGCGTCTTTTTAAGGAATTCACCTTTACTCTGTTCTTAACCAAATAAGTTTATTTAATAAATGCAGGCAATAGGTTTAATTGAATTTCACTACTGATTCAAGGAATCAGACTTTTTGTTGTACAATGAGTTATGTATTCGTCACATTATTAGAATAACATGCTTATTATTATGTCGGTTTGAAAAAGATACTATATATTGATTCAATCTTGTTGTTTTGTAAAACAAATATCACTAAAATGAAAACTACAATCGATTGGCTATAAAATTGTTGTTATTTACAAGTCTTAATGAAAACAAAGTCCAGTACAAAATTTGTTCATATGGCAAGGATACTTGGAATCTTGGTTTTTCTAAACAACCTAGTCGTAGTGTCTTTCACATGAAAGAGTAATTTGCTAGAGAGCTAAGTAATACAAATAAACTACCCATGTAGTCAATTACTGTATATACATGCATTGGATTTTTTTTTGTTCCTAATCGCCTTTTACTTTACTCTCTTACTTATACTTAATATATAGCTAATTAACGTTTACCTTTTTGCTCATCAACGATACTTTTTCATCGGAGTAAGTTACTTGTATAAATGTTAGAATACGAATAAGTTGTTATTTAAAAATCGAAAAACACACCATGATGACATTATTACCCATTATAATCGATAATTAAATTATGATTTAATCACTCATCTATTGTTGAAAGCAGCTAATTAAATATTACGTAGAAAATAATATGACTGGGGTCCAAAAAAGATCTACCTTGCAAAATCAACATGCACTATTTTATTTCGATTTCTTTATAACTCAACTCACGTTGATGTATTTAATTGAAAGAGGAGTAAACTCTTAAGTAAAAACCCGCATAAACTGTAAATAAACCGCGAATTACAAGTTTATTCAAAACAGATTTTGAGTATCTAAATTATAAGAAATGCACGGTGTTAATATTGTAAATTGACTTCATTATAACCAATTGTTGTCTTCATACCTGCAGCTGAATCCAAATCATAATTGTTTGTCGGTTTAGGCAGAGCTTCGGTAGGTAAGAGTGTACTAGAATATTTACTCTCCTTTTCGAGACGTGATAAGGGTTTTACATCATTATGATAAACGGCATTCCATATGTTAGAATTGTCCCTGTTCGCCTCTAATATAAGGTCGCGAATATCAATCCAAAGTGTCTCTGCATCTGGACGCTTATCAGGATCAGCATCACAACACCGCTCGGCAAGTTTATTGTATTCCTCTACCTCGTACTCTATTGCGTTATGATCACGGAATGACATAGCATGTTGTCGAAATTGACTTCGCACAAATGCTCGGAAACGAGGTCTACTGTCCTGCATATGCCAAAGTTCGTCAGTCGGTTATTAACAGCATAGATAATAATCCATCATCAAGAATACGTGAGCTTGAGATTATACAAAATTTTTTTCATTCTGTTAACATACAGAATATCTAATAATTAGGACAGTTGCCTGACCCATTTATGTACATACCACAGGCGCTTCTTACGTATGACCCGAAAACACTAACGGTAAGCGATCCAGACTCAGTCGTATATAGACCAAGGCTATAATTTCACATATCGTTAAGATGCGAATATATATCGCAAACCACACAATTGCTCCAGCAGCAAATCTACTACGCAATGATTCGCCTTGAGCATGAAACCTTCAGTCTGTTATGTCACTGTGATGCTCGTGAGCCCATTTTCTACTAAGCCTTATAATTCTCCATAGTGCACATGGTATGGCCTCATACGACTGATCGAAGCTCAATCCAGGTGGGCAATGGAAGATCGAATTCTTATGCCCTAATGCAAGAATAATGATACGATTTTTAATGATTTTTCTTATTGATCATCCCAAGCAATTGCGGAGGAAGAATGTTTTATTTCCTAACGACATAATTCGAAGTGTGAGATATGCTAAGCTAGTCTGAACACTATCATCCTAAGTAAATAAAATTAAGTGACATAAAGAATATGAGGAATTATTTGATTCAGAATAAAATGATACAAACTTTGTGGTTCCGAAAAGTATCCATGTACATCAAATCCGAAGTATTGATTCACACAACTGATCGAAGCTCAATCCAGGTGGGCAATGGAAGATCGAATTCTTATGCCGTAATGCAAGAATAATAATATGATTTTTAATGATATTTTTTATTGGTCATCCCAAGCAATTGCGGTCTTATTTCCCAACGACATAAAAAGCTTCGTGATTCGAAGTGTGAGATATGTTAAGCTAGTCTGAACACTATCACCCTAAGTAAATAAAAAGTGACATAAATAATATATTGGTGAGATGAGGAATTAAGGAGGAGGGATTTAGAATGAAATGATACAAACTTTGTGATTCCGAAAAGTATCCATGTACATCAAATCCGAAGTATTGAAAAGGCGTTTTCAATGAAACCGTATACACAAACTCTATTGAGATTTTGAATCTATTGTTCTTCATCATCACCGATACCATCTAAACAAAAACAACTCATTATCGGTTCGAAACCATATTCACTACCCACCATCTGTTGAAAGTACAATTATTTCAAACCAAGACTCAAAGAAGTTGATACGTTACTTATACAAATCCAATCTCAAGCCACAAACTCGAAGAATATCTTCTTCTTTTGTATAATTTCCGACGATGGATATGATCATCGTAAAAAGATCGTTGCATTATATCCTATTAAAGCGA